ATGCTGTTCTTCGGCAAGCTTCGTGAAGTAATCAACTGCTTTTTGAATTATTTTGTCGTTAAAAATTTCAACATCAAACTGGTATTAGATTGTACGTGCCATTTAGTTAAAATGTTGCCTTTTTTGTGCTAAAACCATAGTAATAGTAATAGATAAAAAAATATGGTGACAAACCAGGATTACCAGAAGTTGTTGACATAGATAATATAACAATGCCAAGAACTAAACTAAGAAAAAGATATCATGCATGGTATAGTGACTAGACAATTAGCCAAAGCAAAAAAGGAAAAAGTACTTATATTTTTATTTTTGGTGTGAACAAGTCGTGCTTTAGATATGAACCCCTGAAACTTTTTGACACTAAATATGCAGAGCAATTCTGCTCTTTAATTTGTTGTTATATATTTAAAAAAATAGAATAATTTAACCTTCAAAGTATAGAAATTTCTACGAATTAAAAAAATTACATATTAGTAACAATTGTCATTGTCATACAATAACAAAGTTTCAAAGAATTCCATTATTTTTTTAAACAAAAAAACGAGATTGTAAATTCTTGCTTAAAATGCTTACATTTTTTATATAAAAAATATACAAATTTCTTCTTCTATTATTTCAAAAAAAAAAAAAAAAATCATAATAAAATATAAATCACCCACATGCCGTATATAAATATAATAATCATACTCCTTCGCATAAAGTCAGATTCAAAACATCTAATTTGATGTTGAGAAACCCAAATTGTCGGTCAATTGCATATTTTGATATAAAAAATGCTATTGTCGTATGAAATACATTCACGACAAGAAGTTTTTGGAGCTATTCCATATTCAGTTCGGCAGCTCCGTACCTGAATATGGACTTCTGGAGAACTTTTTTATTATTACGAATAAATAAATATCTGATTCACCGCCACCATATACAATAGAATCAGATATTTATTTGTTTGTATGATCATGTGAAAATTTGGTCCTGCTCGTGTTCAATAAAAACGAAACTTAAACGAACACACGCATACGCGGACGTCATCTTATAATGCAGAAGATGGAGAAGGACTTGGAGTATCGGAGGAAAAAGACCTAAAATCACATCGAACTCGAACAGTTTAGGGTCAGGCATCCTCACACAAGATGACATTGAACTTTATTTATAGATGTTCTGGAAAGAAACCTCTAATTGTATTACTTGAAATCAGAATTTATTGATAATGCCATAATTCGCTTTTATTTATTTAAATTGTAACATGTAGTTTTTTTTAAAATAAATAATAAATATTATTAAATAAAGAGGAAACCTGGATCGATCGGTCAATTATCTGAGTTGTCCTCCACGTTATCAATTACGGACGAATCACGAACGGCCAAAAATAAACAATATATATTGATTGGTGCGATTTCATGTAATGCTACGTAATAAGCAAGCATAGTAATTTGAAATGTTACACTAATTTTTTTATATTGTGCAAAATATTCTGGCAATAAAAAGTAAGTGATAACTGGAACTGAACTTTGATCTCCAATTTTAGAGTGATAGTGAAGTTTTCAGGGAGCAATGAGTTCCGTATAACATTCGTGTAACGATAAACTTCCACTATGCTATATTGATACTAATATATACAAAAAAAAATTTATGGGATGATAATTATTTGTTACAAGTATGGATTGTTAATATATTTATTATAAATATTTGTTTCATTTTCCTTTCATTTTTTTTTAAAAATTTTTATTATATAATAAAACACTCGATACAAAATTTATTAGTTTTTATTCATATTTTTGTGCTTTGATAGTACATTTTTAATTTTAAAATATTCACAATTTAATAATAACCCATCCACATTCCTTCCTACTCTCCTCCTTCACCCTATTCTATCTATTTATTATACTCGCAACACATTTTCAGGAAAATGGCTGACTCCTTCATAAAAAGAGAATTTGCACCAAAACGTCTATCTTTTTGGATTTTTTGGTTTAGTAGTCATATAGGTCTTTTCTTTTATGGTTTTTACAAACAAAAGGATGACCCAGAACTTGCTTATCTCAACAAAATTGGCTTTTCAGTTTGGACCTCTCGTGGTGCTGGTTTATGTTTAGCTTATGATGGTGCTTTGATACTTTTACCTGTCTGTAGAAACATCATAAAATATTTACGTTTAACACCTTTATTGAAATGGATAATTCCTTTTGATGAAAATCTTTGGTTCCATCGTCAATGTGCTTACTCTATGTTATTTTGGACTTTGGTGCACACTTTTGCTCATTACATTAATTTTATTATACTAGAAAAAGCAGGAAAATACACTGCTTATTATCTCCACTACAACACTTGGGCTGGTACTACTGGGCATCTCATGTTATTGATCATGGTCTTGATGTACACTTCTGCTCATGCCAGTATGAGACAACAATCATTTGAAACCTTTTGGTATACTCATCATTTGGCTTTCTTCTTTATGCTCTGTTTATATTTACATGCTAATGGTTGCTTTGTTTCAACTGACGAGACAAAAGGACCAAAAATTTGCAAGGGTTATTTCTCTTGGGAATGGACTATATGGGGTGGAATAATCTACTTTTTTGAACGTGTTTTGCGCGAAGTTAGATCTCGTCAATCAACGAGAATAACAAAAGTAATAGCCCATCCTTCAAGAGCGATTGAAATTCAATTTGAAAAACCATCTTTTTCCTACAAAGCTGGTCAATATTTATTTTTAAATGTTCCTGACATCTCTTCCTTTCAATGGCATCCTTTCACCATCACTTCTGCACCTGATGATCCTTATGTCTCATTACACATTCGTCAAGTTGGTGATTTCACTAATAAACTTGGTGAAATACTTGGCTGTCAAGAAGCTTCTTCTGCTGATAATAAATTTGACTTCAAGAAAGCTTTACCTTTAATTAGAGTTGATGGTTCTTATGGTACTCCCGCTGAAGATGTATTCAATAATGAAATTGCTATATTGATTGGTTGTGGTATTGGTGTAACTCCATTTGCTTCAATCCTTAAAAATATTTTCTACCAACATAAATTTAAACGTCCTTCAAAACTTAAACGTGTAGAATTTTTCTGGATTTGTCGTGAGACTGGATCGTTTGAATGGTTCCAATCTTTATTAAAGACACTAGAGGATTCACAATTAGAAGAAGGTTTCTTAAAAGTTCACATTTATCTCACCTCTAAACTACGTGAATCGACAATTCAAAACATCATAATCAATGATGTGTCAAGTTCTTATGACCCGTTAACTGATTTAGAATCTAGAACTTGTTATGGCAGACCAAACTTTAATTATATCTTTAGCCAATTGAAAAAAGCGATTGAAACTGGTAGATATTTACCAGGAAAAGAAAGCAGCTTAACGACAAATGTTGGTGTCTATTATTGTGGTCCTACTCCTTTAGCTAAAAGCCTTAAAGCTGAATGTAAACTTGCTAATGATGATGGAATAAACTTCCGTTTCCGTAAAGAACATTTTTAAATAAAATTATTATTAGTTTAACTAGAAAAACATACAAATTAATTAATTAATTAATTAATTTATTTATTTATTATTAAATCATAAACAAAATGATTAATAGTTATTTATTAAATTATAAATATATAAATATAAAACACAACAACAGCAATATTAGTGTAATTTAATAAAAAATTTAGAAAGTCTGTATTTAATTTTTCTAATCAATATTTTTTTTCATGTTAATGTCATCTGGTGAGAGCGTGTTAATGATCAGAATGAATTGGCTATTACTAACGAATCAGTTTAGTGATTTAAGAAAACATTTTATTTGGTCAAAGCTAATTTATTTCCAAGTTAAATTTTATTATAAAACTTTTTTTACAAAGTTATTACAAAGTTATTTACAAGTATGTCGAATTTGAACTTCTTATATACAATTAAATTAATTAGTAACAAATTCATTGCAATCTAGCATTCTAACCGTGATAACGCACTTTAATCGCGACGTAACATTCTAACCGTGACGCTAATTCCTAAAATAAGAAATGAAAATATAAGGAATAAATAAATGTAGATATAAAAATAAAGTAAAAATAGAAATAAAAGATTTTTGATTCGGAATTAAGGTATTTCGACCAACAAAACAGCGTTAAATCCTAATTTCTGGCAACAATAATAATAAAGTTCTTTCAAGTTTTTAAAAGAAAATCATTACTAAATTTGGTAACATAAAAATTATTGCAAAAAAATTCATGAAAAAAAAAGTTGACAAATTTTTTTTTACGTTAATTAGCACCCTTTTTAAAGTTGGATTGAATGGTGGTGATTTTTTTAAGTTCAATATGTGGATCACATAACGTTTCAAATTTTTCAACTTTTGAGTAAAAAAGTGTTACACGATTTTGATTCCCTAAATATTTTGCAGAAACTTATCGATCCTCCTATTGTTTGATATGTAAGAATAATTTCTAAAATTGTATAAACTAGTAGTGCAATTTAGAATATAAATAGAAAACGTGTTGATGAAAATTTTAATTTCAAAAAAAATTTATTTTAAATTTTTTTTTAATTTATTATTTATTATTCAGTTTATCATAATATAATGAAAAAGATGATTTCAAATAAATTTCAAATAATCCTACCGGTTTTCATTACATTAATGACATTGGAAGTAAGAAATAATATTTATATATATACTTGTACATGTAATAAAATAAATATCTAAAAATATTCTTTTTAACGATAATAAGTGGTTTATATTGCCTATTGATGCTCAAACAAAAGATACAAGTACTGGTATTATGATAGTGCCACCAAAATGGACTTGGTATATTTGTAGTTCACTAGAAACGAATTATATAAGTTAGTATTGCAATAGTTCTTTATATACATATATATATTATTTACTTCATTATTTTAATAAATCAAAAAATTCCCAGGTTATAATGTAATATGGATAACTACTTCTTCTGGAGCAACTCCAGGATTTGGATTTCCACCACAAGAAGGAAACCATCCAAAACAATACAATAAAAAAGGACTTTTAACCTTTGCAGCAAACTATACAGGGATACAACAATTATTAGATCCAACAAGAACCCCAGCAGGATACGTTCAGGAATTGTCATGTTTTGATGAGGGACCGGTAATGGGATGCAAAAAGGAATCAAATCCACCATTTAGTACCAATGCTATAGTTTGTCTAGCTGTAATCAATCCAAATGATGACGATTTAAAATTTGCTGGAACATTCTCCTTTAAACTTGGTACACCACCACCAGTAATGCCAAAATATGATCCACCTGTTGTTTCCACCATCGATGAAACTACTCCAACTGCTGCAGCTCCCCCAACCACCACAAAGGTAATACAAACCAATGACTCTCCCTTTATTAGTGGTAGCGATGGTGGTTTAATTTATAATAATTATGATAAACATAAGTTATTTATGTCATTAATTATTTCTATTATTGTTACTATTACTTTGGTTTTTACTTGAAAATATTCTATTTTTAAATACATGCGGGATGGAATATTTAATTTAATTAATTTATATAATATAATTGGAAATTCATTTAGAGGATATTTCAAAAAAAAAATAAACAATATGCATTAATAAAAACGATAATAAAATAAAAATATGTTTCATTGTAATAATAACAGGAATCCAACATATTGAATGTTATTTTGTTTGCTATATAATTAAAACAAGGTTTGTGGGTTGTGCCAACTTTCAAAAGTTTAATATTAATAATAAAATACAAATTCACAATCTCATCACCCTTCTTCATTCAACCAATAAATTTTATAACCATAAAAATTTATTATTACTACTATTCAGAAAACGTTCATTTGCATTTACTTGTTATAAATTTGATATTTATATTCGCCATTCTCCTCTTTATCAATCCGAGTTTTCTTTAATAGAACAAGGTTACAAAAATTTAACCAAGTTTTCCATCATAACCACCAACGTTAAAAAGAAAAAAAAAGACTTACGGAGCTTCTTGTTCTTTTGATTTTATAAAATTGTATGCCATTTAATTTGTCAAAATCATTTTATTTTTTTAAATTGTCTAATAAAAAAATTTTTAGATTAGGTAAAGATTTCAAATTCAATCAAATTTTATATTTATTATAATAATAATAATATTTAATGATTAAAAACTTTTCTTTTTGAAATGAAACTTTTAGTTGTTGAAAGCATGTACAAAGGAATTCCTATTTGAATTATAGCAGCAGTGAGTATATAATATGGGGCATGCTTGCATAAAATTAATATGCTATGGAACCCAAGAATTATAGTGCAATCAGGAAAAGAAACAAGGTGAGAAAATTACTCCCTATATTTTCAAAATAAATAACGCAACTTCTGCAAAAAATTTTAAAGGACCACCTGACAGTGGAAGCTTAACATTGCAAATATCTTGAATCAGTAGCATTGCTAATTGCTAGCTTTCTTTTCTTAACAATAAAACATGTAAATGTGGTAGTATCGAGCATACTTGTATTTCTGCAAAGGAGTGTCCTCTTTACAAACCCCGTAAATTTCAAATAGCAAAACAAGGAGAAGAAAGGCCTGCACAACAAAGATCGGCTTTAATTGTTTTCTTGCTGAACCCAATTTGGCACCCATCGTTGATAAAGCTGTCAAGCATTTGGCATATATTTAATTTGAAGCCAGCTGTCCCACTAATATTATCTTCTTAACAATGATCTTCCGATTCCTGTACTTGATTATAGCTATTTCCTTTTCAAGCTGTTCTTCAACAAAACACTTTCAACACTCCAAAAAATACCACCAACGCAACATCAAACTATATTCGAGATAGTTTGTACACTCCTCTGCGTCCCACAGGTCTTGCATGGAATAATAGAAGGTATATGTAATTTTGTAGTTTAGAAAAAACTTTTGGATTATTCATTGTAATTTTTTTTTAGTGGTCTGATCAAATAATCAGATCAGCAGCACGTATTCATATAATCAATGCACAAAGTCATGTTTCTATGAACGTATATTTCACTAGATTCAATGGAAACTAAAGAAGCAATTGCATTTCCTCAGCAAAGAAAACACCCATACTCATACACAACATCTAGTTTCTAATTTCATTTCCAATAGATCTTTTTCGCTTCCCCAGTCTATTTATGAACTTAACAACGCATTTGTGTTGAAGGTTGATATCAATCAAAACAACAAGGTCATCATGGATTACCATTTTACCACATACCAAGTTTCATTGACAATTTATACTTGTAGATAGAATTTTGTGGCTTAGGGCAGATAAGCAAAATAGATTTAATGAAAATATTGAGGAATGATGGAAAAATGCATTTTGCATAGAAAAGTTACAACAAGCAATCAATGGTTTGGTTTTAGTATAATGACAGATGGCATGAGTTTTAGTTAGCGTTAATCTAAAGAGAGCAATAATGGAACACAATGTAATAAATGCATATGGATTTGATAATGAGGACAATTTTCATCCTTTGGATATATGTGAAAATGATAATATATGTTGTTGGATTGGTTCCAGGTTGAAATGATTTATTTGTGACAGTGAATGAAGAAGATGAGAGGAATGTGATTCGTTGCTCAACAAAAAGAATGGTATTCTCAAGCTGGGTTTACAAGAGCAAAGAAGAAGAAAGAAGTATGGATTAAGCAATTATAACAATGTGGAAACTATTTTACATAGCAAGTATTTAATTTATAATTTATTAATTTTTTTATTTAACAATTATCCCAACACCATAACGTTCATTTATCTGTTGCTACCTATGGACAACATATTCTCCAACATATGCATACTCTCTTCTTGAATTCCATGGCACAAGGCATTAGCTTCACATGGAAATCATATATCAATTGTCAGAAGGCATACAATATTTATTGTATGCGAAAGGATAATGAAGAAAAATAGCAGGTCAGTGGTGAAATTTGGGGATGAGTGGGTGATTTTCTAGTGATTCTAGAGGTCATGCGCCGGGACCAGTAAAAGAATTATATCGGGAATTGAGGAAGAGGTGTAGGGTGAGGATGGTTGGTTGATGGATTTCGGACAAGTAAGATTTATTTTTTGTGTGATTGGTGGTTTGATGAACGTCAGCAATTCTGATCAGTCCGAGTATGTAAGGATATATGTCTTGTTTGCTATTGGAAACTTTTTATATTTTGCATTTCTTTTCTCGTAGACTTTACTCAAAATATAAGGAATATTTTCTTGTCCATAAAACTCTACTGGTGGACAGGAGCCAATACCATTTAGAAGAAAAATCAGGGTTAATTAATAACCTCCCTTTACCATTGGGGGGACGTGAGGTTTTGCAGTTTCCACGGCTGTATAAGAATTAGCTGTATTTCGTGTTACAATAAACTTATTATGTTCGTTACTCGAAACAGATAAATTTGTAAAAAAAAAAGTAAAAATTTCAAAATGCCAATTAACCAACCAAGTAATCAAATAAAGTTTGTATCTTACTTTAAAAGATTAAATTTTCAACTATATTTATTATAATTACCCAAAATTACTAACGATTATTGCCACCCTCACAACCTTCTTACTATTATTGATTAAAGACTTACCAATGTTTCCATAGTTCGTTTAAGAAAAGGTGGAAAACGATTTGAAATAGCTTGTTATAAAAATAAAGTGTTAGAATGGAGAACTGGAGTGTAAATAATAACGATTTTTATTTTTATTAAGATCTTTCCTTTTTATTTTAAAATAGTATTTTAATTATTATTTTTTTTTTTGCAAAGTGAAACAGATTTGGACGAAGTTCTTCAAATAAACAATGTATTTTTAAATGTATCGAAAGGTCAAGTAGCAGCAAAAGATGATTTAGTAAAATCATTTAAAACAGAAGATTTAAATAAAATTGTTGAAGAGGTATACATTATATATATATATAATTCTATATTATAATTTTATGATTATATATAATAACAATTAATAGCATCAGGTAACAATATATTAATTAGATTTTAAAGAAAGGAGAGCTTCAAGTTAGTGATAAAGAAAGATCACATCAAATGGATAATATATACCGGGAAATTGCTACCATTGTTGCAGAAAAATGTGTAAATCCTGATACTAAAAGACCATACACAGTCACTATGATTGAAAAATCAATGGGAGAATTGCATCTTTCAGTAAACGTCAATAGAAGTACAAAACAACAGGTAAGTGAATGTACGTGTTTATCATGTATTTATGATATATTTTCATTATATGTTTTTATTTGTTTGTAGGCATTGGAAGTAATTAAACAACTGCAAGAAAAAAAAATAATTCCTATTGCACGTGCACAAATGAAATTAAGAATCACGATTCCAAATAATAAAGAAGCAAAGAAAATAAAAGAAAGATTGACTGAACTAATCTCACAAATAGAAGACGAAAATTGGTCAGATGAATGTGAATTGGTATTATTTATTTATTTACACTACATTATATATATTACATGAATATGATGATGATAAATGATAAGTCTTGTGATTATTTTTATAGATATGTACGATTGATCCAGGACATTATAGAGAAATCAAAGAAAGGTTACAATCAGATACAAAAGGAAAAGGTCAATTAGAACTATTATCTCTTAATGACGCAAGTGAAGGAGATATGAAACTTTAAAATATTTAAAAATGGGTTTTTTATAAAAATAAATAAAGTGTACTCTGATTAAATTATCTCTATAATAAAAATAATGTGTTTATAAATTTTTTAAAACAACATACATAAAATCGCGAAACATATCCCCACAGACCATATGAACTCATAGCTAACGTTTATCATAAGCAAATATTGATTTTTATTACTATGGCGCGGTCAAATCAGAATTTAATTAATATTAATCATTCTGAAAATTGCTGTTAATTAAATGTTGAATTTTATAAAGTGTATATAAATTATGATTATTCTTGATAAAATTTATGACTCGACCAACTTAATAATACTATGGTTTGAGTTTCCTTATTATAGTGAAATGGTTACCTTCACAAATCCATAGTGACATTCAATAGATATTCCTGGTCTTATAATAAATTACAGTGAGCATGTAACTTGTTTACTGATTGTTATGGTATGGCTAGAGGTTGGTACAGTTAACCATTTTAATAGTCACGAGAGAATAAAGCAAATAAAAAACAGCAAGTAGTAAACTTGTATATTTGTTTATATACAGCAAACAAATTTCTAAATCTCTGACAAATCTGGGCCAATTTGCATGCCGATCTGTCGACCTGAGTATATATAGGATTTTTATTCAAATCTAACAAATGATTTGTCATAGTCGAGCTTTTTTTGAGTAATTTGAATAAAACGAATCGTTCGGATGCTTCAAATAGAGGAGGTTATAGTTATATTATAAACAGAGATTTCTATCTGAATAATAATTATTCCATTCTTAAATGCAAATTTTTTATAAAGCAAAACAAACTAAAATCACGTCGCGTTCAAGCTCAACTTTGAAACGTCTTTTCCAAGTTAATTACTAAGTCATGTTTATTTGTTTTTTGAAGTTGAAGTTAAAAAAGCCAAATCACATCACTGTACCTATCATTCATGCTTATTAAAGTCTAGCAAGTTTATTTTATTTAGATAAAATTCATTAATTGATTTGATTGATTACATTTGTAATATATCATCAATTATAGCAGTAAATGAATTTTTGTTCTCTTCCTCAATTATAAATAAGTTTGTTATTCTTTTAAAAATCCATTAAAAACTAAAATTTTACTATATTATTAAATAATAACTTAATTCTATTTTATATTACAATACTATTATTATGTTTAGAAACTCACCTTTACTTATTAATATAATGCATGCAACCTCTTGTACTTGTTTCGGTTACTGCATGTTGGTTGCTTTGCCTTTTATTCTTTTGATAATTTGGGTGACTTCTCCCGTGTGGATTTCAATTATTGGTAAATAATCAACTGATTTATCTATCAACAAAACTACTTATACTGACATATGATTTATCATTTCTCATCAGATTTTATATTATCAAAATGTTTTTTGCGGCATTTATTATGGTATTCAAGAACCAGGATTGGTAAAAGGTTAGTAGAAAAAATAAATAACAAGAATCATTTCTTCTTAATCTCTTCTATAATAAAATCTAAATAAGATCTAATTTTTTTAAGCTCTCGGAACTATTTTTCCAAAAGCATCTAAGAGTGAAATTCACAAATATATGAAACAACTTTCTGATGTTGAAGAGGGTGACCCCGTTTTAACCATAATCCCAAATCCTCCATGGGTCAATCAACATGGACAGAATGTATATAATTTGGTTATGAATGCTTTTGCAACAGTTAATATTCGTCGTGCAAATCAGCATAGGGATAAAAATTCATCTTGCATTTTTCACTTTCGAGATATGGAAGAAATTTACAGTGTACGTGATGCTATTGAAACTTTACAACCCAATGCCTTTTGCATTCCACCTTCCTACAATGCTTATCTTCCTGGTGCTCAGCTTACACCAATTGGAACGGCCTGGTATCTTTACAAGACAGGGGGGGGTGTTAAAACTGATTTTGCAGAGGACATGCGATTTTTTAATATTCAATAGTAAAGCCTTAATTTTCAGAATTTAAAAATTTAAATCTCTTTAATTATTATAAATATTATAAATAAAGTCAATGTAACTAATTACATGTATATTTTCGCTACGAGAATACTTGATCAAGAAATTAACTGAACTTTGTCCCGAATGCATCACAAATGTTTGGTTATACACATCTAATGTAAATCACATCAAATTTCTTCTTTATAATGGAAGTTTGGTTGCTGGTAGCAGTTGTTTTGAACTTACTGCCAAGAATAAAAAAGATGAATGTAGTTTTAAAACCAAATGGGCATAAAACAGAGTTTAACATAAATTCTCAATTATGCAAAAAGTAAACATAATTATTTATTACATATTAACAATGTTATTCAATACCCATAAAAATCAAATTTTCAACAAATAATTAATTTCAAATAAAAACTTTTTTTTGAGAACTTTGAATATGAACAGCAAGTGTGGTTAATTGGATAGTGCAAAAGTAATTTGTTTAATTTCAATTTTTTGTGAAAAGAAACTTTTTGCGACAAAGATGAAATCCAAACCCAACTTAAAATAAATGAATTTTTGTTCTCACATAGCAAAAACTTTGCATTGCGTCCTCAGTTATAAAGCTTGTTATTATTTTAAAAATCCATTAAAAAAAATAATAACTTGTTCAAACCGTTTAAACTGGTTTCACGAAACCAAACCAAATCGAACCAAACTCCCCATCCCTAATGCGACTTTTTTTACTTGGTGGTACATGTGTTGTGTTACTTTATGGTTTTTTTGACAAAGTTTAAAAACGTGAAATCGCAGATCATCACAGATAATTTACTATTGTTTTAGAAAATATCTCAAAAATATCTCAAGTGGGTATGATTTCTAAACTAAAATTGCTTCTTATTATGATTTACATATATATGTGGGTATCAACTCAAAATCACGATTTTGGTAGTTAAGGCCTTTTCTATTGTCCACGTCTCATCTATACTCAAAAGTTTGAAATATTATGTGATCCACCCACATACTTTATGGTTTTTTTGACAAAGTTTAAAAACGTGAAATCGCAGATCATCACAGATAATTTACTATTGTTTTAGAAAATATCTCAAAAATATCTCAAGTGGGTATGATTTCTAAACTAAAATTGCTTCTTATTATGATTTACATATATATGTGGGTATCAACTCAAAATCACGATTTTGGTAGTTAAGGCCTTTTCTATTGTCCACGTCTCATCTATACTCAAAAGTTTGAAATATTATGTGATCCACCCACATGTTGAGCCCTTAAAAAAACCACCACCATTCAATTCAGGGAATCAAAAAAAAATTTTCAAATTTTTACGCAATAAAACTTCGTGTTATAATATTTTGAATTACATGACCAAATTTGGGGATGATTATAAAATTTTCCCTCAAAATGGAAGGAATCTCACGCCTCTCTCTATAATTAAAAACCATCAACACTCACATTAAACAGCATATATTATGAATATTATTATAACAAATAATAAGAGCTTTAATAAAAAAATGGATTTTGATAATAATAAAAAAGAATAAAAAGATAAATGATTGACATATTTATATTAAGTAGACAGAAAATTTATTGTTTAAAAGGTTTTTGGTAATAAAAACCCATATTCTATGTTTAGCACAAATAAAAACAAAAAAAATAATTTTCTCTGTTTTTTAATATTTCAATTTTATTTGGAATTTGGCGATGCCCAATATAAAAGTTATAATATATTTGAGATTTATTCTACCAAATAAAAAGAGTCTTGAGAAAAAATTTTTTTTGGAAGTGTTAATTGTGTCATTTTACTGTGTCTCTATACACATGATCTGCGAAACACGAATTACTTTTAATAAAAAAAAGGAAAAAAAAATTGGTACACAAAATTTACTTGGTCTCAATTTGGAATTTTCAAAATGCTAGGTTCTGCCAATTTCCGAGTCATGCATAACAATAAAACTTATCAGTTAACTTTTTTAAGATGATATTAATATAAAAATTTTTTGTTTGAGTATTTTGAAGCAAGCAATTAAAAATCATGAAATTACTACACAAAGTTTCTTTTTCATATACTTGTATATACAGCGTATATATATAACCTGTTGGCAAATCTTTTATTTTAAATAATCCAAATATAGCTATTTAATTTAATTAACCAGTTTTGGGAGTTAAACACTAATACTAATATAGCATCCAGATCTCGTTCCAACGAATTCTATTTAGAATTAATTCACAAAATTCCTAATCGCGTCTATTTTGAAACAATCTTTGTTGATTATTGTTAACGTTGCACTAATTTTTTTAAAAAAAAAATGAAAAGTTTAGTTCTCTATTTCCTTTAGAAGACAGTTAACCATTTTAATAGTCACGAGAGAATAAAGCAAATAAAAAACAGCAAGTAGTAAACTTGTATATTTGTTTATATACAGCAAACAAATTTCTAAATCTCTGACAAATCTGGGCCAATTTGCATGCCGATCTGTCGACCTGAGTATATATAGGATTTTTATTCAAATCTAACAAATGATTTGTCATAGTCGAGCTTTTTTTGAGTAATTTGAATAAAACGAATCGTTCGGATGCTTCAAATAGAGGAGGTTATAGTTATATTATAAACAGAGATTTCTATCTGAATAATAATTATTCCATTCTTAAATGCAAATTTTTTATAAAGCAAAACAAACTAAAATCACGTCGCGTTCAAGCTCAACTTTGAAACGTCTTTTCCAAGTTAATTACTAAGTCATGTTTATTTGTTTTTTGAAGTTGAAGTTAAAAAAGCCAAATCACATCACTGTACCTATCATTCATGCTTATTAAAGTCTAGCAAGTTTATTTTATTTAGATAAAATTCATTAATTGATTTGATTGATTACATTTGTAATATATCATCAATTATAGCAGTAAATGAATTTTTGTTCTCTTCCTCAATTATAAATAAGTTTGTTATTCTTTTAAAAATCCATTAAAAACTAAAATTTTACTATATTATTAAATAATAACTTAATTCTATTTTATATTACAATACTATTATTATGTTTAGAAATCATACCCACTTGAGATATTTTTGAGATATTTTCTAAAACAATAGTAAATTATCTGTGATGATCTGCGATTTCACGTTTTTAAACTTTGTCAAAAAAACCATAAAGTAACACAACACATGTACCACCAAGTAAAAAAAGTCGCATTAGGGATGGGGAGTTTGGTTCGATTTGGTTTGGTTTCGTGAAACCAGTTTAAACGGTTTGAACAAGTTATTATTTTTTTTAATGGATTTTTAAAATAATAACAAGCTTTATAACTGAGGACGCAATGCAAAGTTTTTGCTATGTGAGAACAAAAATTCATTTATTTTAAGTTGCATCATCTTCGTCACAAAGAACCACTTGGGATAAGACAATAATAATAGTCTATATATTTAAATTCAAAACAGTTGTCCCACATTTTTTCATAACATCACCAATGAGAGATATTCATTTTGGCACACAGAACTCAACCTCAAGCAATCAAAATAAAATTCAAGATTACAAATGTGCACACTATATGAGCACATTCAAACCATGAAATCATTTATTGTTATACAAAATAGTCTAACTCCTAATAAAAACACACGATCATTTATATACACAGGTAGACTCGATAAGTCGGTCCCTCGATAAGTCAGTTTTGGCCTAAGTCAGCCAAAATTTTTCAGCCCT